TTTGCTCCACCCCTTGGCATCTCTATAAAAACCCTGGGGCAGAGACAGTTGGGGCCCGTTGGAATAGGTTCCAGGCCCTCTCAAGGCTATCCTTTATTTTCTATCTGTTTATCTCCTCAAGATTCTCTGCTATAAATCCTTCTATCTAATATTTCCTGCTGCTCGCACTCAAGAAAACTCTGGGGAACTGTGGGGGTGGTGGGTAAAATGCCCCACAGTTAACGCTACAAGCTGGTCAGACATGGTCTTCATGGCCAGGCCTGACTTAGAATATGGGAACATGAGAACCCCGTGGACCCTCTGTGGAGATTCTGCTAGCTCGTTCTCTGGTTTATTTGTTAACCTGTCTGTGCTGCATGTCTGCATAGAATGCAAAGCCTGCATTGATAAAATTGTGTAGTATACCTTAGTTTATTTATATGAAGTCAAATTCGCTTAGATCTCATCTTGGACAACCCAGGGAGCATCTGTGAAACCTAAGGCATCTAGATTTCCAGTACATTTCGCAGCCAAAGGTGTGGACAGACCTGAGTGACTGAGCACCAGCACAGAGCAACCAGGTTCACCCTGAATTTATTTATTTTTTTTATACCTTAGGGTTCTAGCAAGGAGCACAGTTCTGGGGAAGGCTATGTGACTCCGGACCCAGACCTGGAGGGATATGTACTTGCTCACCAGGCATGGCTTCTCCAGACTAAGTATGTCCCTCAAGTACAGTCCACTAAACAGAACTTAATTGCACCTGATACAGAGCGTGTAAGGGTGAAGCAGAGTGGCCGACACAGAACTGCTCATGATAGAAGTGGTCCCCATCGGTTCAGGCTCCACCATTAGACACTTGCCTAGCATCACAGTTAGCTGCCTTGGGCTTTACCCTAGGCTTGCCTGGCCCTAGAGCTAGCCCTCCTCGTCATTGTCCGATACTGGCAGCATACTGGCAGGCGTGGTTTAGATTATGAAGGGGTTTTAAAGGTATCTGCCTGTCCGTGTCCCCATCTCTCACTGAGCTGCCCACGTTCTTCCTTGTTTTGTTACCATGTCTGACTGAGAAAGGGAATGAGGTCTGAGCCAAGCCTGGCAAATGAGGTTGGCTCAGGAGTACGAGAATCCACATCGTGAAGCTTGTAAGGCTGGGGGTATGGTCTGGGGCAGCCAGTCAGCCCTTTATTGTCCTCTGTTGAACGAAACCGAGAGGCAGCATTCTGAAAATGCCGTGGTGGGCAAGGCAGATGGAAGTCTTGCCCCAGTGAGGCTCATCTTCTCAGAGACATGTGTAAAGGTGCAGGAAGATGCTGCAGACCTCATGGTGGGGACGGGGGACAGAAGACGGTAGGCAGCTGGTGGCACATCATTTCACTCAGCTCACCTGTACTATGTCCTTGTTGTGCCTCCTTGGTGAATGGAGCATGCTTTCCTGTCCCTCGACTTAGAGCTGGGCCATGTCACTAAGCAATAGAGTTAGAACAGGATGCTTCTGTGCATTCAGCCTCTTGCATTCCCTTCATTCACTGTGAGGAGAGCATGTGCTCAGTAACTGGTAGTCCCTGCAGGGGGAGACATAAATGGAATAAATATGTACTCAGTCTGTGGCCAGGAGTCTGTAGTCCAGTGGTTCTCAACCTTCCTAACACTGTGACCCTTTAATACAGTTCCTCATGTTGTGACCCCAGACCATAAAATTTATTTTCGCTGTTACTTCATAACTGTAATTTTGCTACTGCTATGAATTGTAATGTAAATATGCAGAATATCTGATATTCAACCCCCAAAGGGGTCATGACCCACAGGTTAAGAACTATGGCTGTAGTCCACCCTGACTCACATGCAAATGAGTAAGAACGAAAATGCTTGCATTGAGCCCGTGAGTTCAAGAGTGGCTTCTTACTCGGTATTAATGAAGTAAGGAGAAGCTGCCTTGGTGTTCAGCTGTTTACTGACCCCATCTTAGGTCATCAAAGTAGTTCCTGATTCAAGTATGCGCGTATGATCCCTGGTGTAAGATTCACTCGGGATGAGTTCTGTTCTAGACAGTCATTTGCATTCCTATCCTTCCTTTTTTTCCTTTATCCCAGCACTGTGGCACAAAGCTCTGTGTTTGGGCAACTGAAGGGGAGATGGTCTCATGAGCTGTGATGGAGCATTGGCCCCAGAAGGGCAGATAGGGGAGTCAGCAGGAGAGGTTCTGTTTCGGACATGTTGAGCTTCAAGTACCCGGTGGACATCATCCAGGTGGACATCCAGTTTCCACGTGGGCCTGAAACTCTGGTGGGAGAACCAACGGGGCTCCAGATGGTCTAGGCCTTGGGACAAAGCCCAGAGAACACACAGACAGTCAAGGATTAACAGTTTTAACAAAAGAAATAAGAGTGGTCAGCAACAGTGGACTAAATCGAGAGAGGCTTGTAGCTTGCCAGTGACTAAGGGGGCCTCAGCAAAATGGTATTTAACGTTCATTACAATGAGATCTGAAAAATCTCAAAAACCTTAATATTTTCCATCAGAGAAGAACTGAGAGAAAGTATATCATAGTCCATATTTCATTGTGAATCATATTTGTTGCAGATCATCAAGAGCTCCTTGGTTGTGTTCTCAGTGTGTTCCTCTGTGACCCCTAAACACCTTGCCTTGTGAGATGGCTTTGAAGGAACTTTAACCGCCAGCTTCCTGTTCCACTGCTCAGGCTGCAGTATATGTTCATGAAAACTCCCCTGCTTGCTAGGCACCCTTTAATTACTTAGTAGCCTTGTATCAATATTGGGCCTGTTGACCTGCGGGCTCTTTGGAAGTGGAAGACCATCTGCCCAACGCTGTCATTGGGAAGGCTTTCCCTCCAACCATAATGAAATCACTAACATCATTTCCTGCTCCCGGCCCTTGTACAGAGCTTCTATCTACTGTCAATAAGAGGTTATTAAAATGCTCAATAAAGTCCACATGTCCTTTTCATCCTGTCCCACAAAGATTTGTGTTGTAGTGATGGAAACAATAAATAACAGATGACGTCAAGCCTATTGTAATAAAAGAAGGCTGCTTATTAAACTGTCTGCTCCAACTCTTTTTCCTTTTGACATCATGGGATCTGTTGATAATGACTTTTATGATTTTCCCCTTAGCAATCAACACTCATATGATTACAGGAGAAATCGAGGTTTGGCAACAGTCTCTTCAACAGAAGTGGCACCTTCCTGCTCAGGTCTCGTGGTGCACACACTTCGGGGGTAGAATATGGGAAGAAAGGACAGAGAGGCTGTGTATTTTGGAGGAGTTGGACTTCCTCAGGCATAGGCTTTCTGCCGGGAGGGAGAGAGCATTGAAAACTCAGTGCATGGGTGGGGTGGGCATGCGTATGCAGCCACAGTGGATGAATCCAGCCACCATGACTTTATTTTGCCAGTCACCATCTCCATTAAAGCCAGTCAGCGCTAGATCATGAAGCTGCATATGGACACCTCAGCGTCTGAAGAATTCAGCATCTCTGGGGAGTCACTCTTCCCTGAGCCTGTATTTGGGAAGGGTGTGTGTGAGGATGCCACTCTTCCTTTGGGCCTGTATTTGGAAGTGATGGGGAATCTGCAAATCCAGGAGCATGCTCTCTTCAGACTGCAGCTGCTGTCTGACTTGTCTGCGTGTAACCAGGGACAGTTCACAGTCAGCAAGCACTTCTCTAGAGGAAAGAAATCCTCTAGCTTTCCCCACTGACATTGTGGACCCCAGAACCAGCTCCCTAGAGGAAACTGTCATTTCTTCTCATATGTTTCAGGTTTGACTTGATTGTTTCAAATGACCTCAATTGCTTCCATTTTCGTAATTCTAGTATTCAGTTTGCAAATAATTACAGACAGCTTGTATTCTATGACACATGAACCACCTTGAATGATGGAAATTTCACATTTTCATCTGAGCTCTGAGTGGTATGAAAGCATTGGTAGTTAGATTTCCTGTTTGGACCTGTTTTCACATGGGCTGGCTGTTTCTTTAGAGCAGCCAAGGGGAAGCACACAGAGAAAATACCAAGTCCTGAAGATGCTTTCATCTTTTAGGACATGGCTGACTTCTTGGAAGGGTGTGCTCTGAGCACCGTGGCCCCCAGAAGCTCGTGGGAAGAACGTGCCAGCTGCTCCGTAACCATGAGCCACCTCTTCTTTGATGGGGAGATTAATGCATCCCATAATCATATCATCCTGCTTTCTCTGGGCCCAGAGTTCACTCAGCCTTGAAAGAAATAGAAATTAATTGAAGAGAAAAAAAATCTCCTTTTCTTATTTCCTCTCTGAACTTATCTAGAAAAGTGATTAAGAGACTCACGGGTTTGTTGCCGACAGGAGTGAAGAGATTTGCTTCCTTTTGCAGTTCTGGATATTTTTAAAATCTAAAAGAAAGCCATTAGATGGTGACTAAAAGGTAGGTGTGGGAAGATCTGAGCTCACTTGGTCCCCCCAGAGCAGAATCCCCGAGGGGTGCGCAGGGAGTGCTGTCCCATGGAGGGCAAACTTCTGGTTCTAGGGGTACATGCAGAGGGAGCAAACAGCAGGCTACAGCTGATGCCCATCACTAGAACTGGGCTGGTCTAGAGATGTCCTCACTCTTCTCTCCCACACAGAGGCATCTATGAGTTTATTTGCCATATGCTGGAGTTTGGGGAAAACTAAACTTTGGTGTTTGTTTTTAATCTTGCTAAATTTAAGCTCAAGATTTCTTCTTCTTCTAGTTCTTCTTCTTCTTCTTCTTCTTCTTCTTCTTCTTCTTCTTCTTCTTCTTCTTCTTCTTCTTCTTCTTCTTCTTCTTCTTCTTCTTCTTC